AACCTATGCAGGAAACTGAAACTTAACTTTACACAGCTACGCACCATATATGGGCTGCTGGACAACAGTGGCCCTCCCTTATAAAAACCCCACCTGCCTTTGCTCGGGCACGACTTCCCTGGCTTTGCTTCCCCATAAGCCATGGAACCTCGCCCCGGGGCGCTTTCATTAAAGCTTCCCTCGAACCTCTTGCCCGCCCCTGTGATGGGCATGACTTCCCTGGCTTTGCTTCCCCATAAGCTACGGAACCTCGCCCCGGGGCGCTTTCATTAAAGCTTCCCTCGAACCTCTTGCCCGCCCCTGTGATCCTTGTTTTCTGTCACTGTTTTAAACCTAACATCTATTATTTTTATTTTTCTGAATGCAGACAGCTTTTCACAGTCCTACCATTCTATTGTTAATGAAAAAATGAAAACAAAGTACAAAAATGAAAACATTTAAAAATGTTCTATTTCTGAAAATTCTTGAGTATTGTATATTTACTTATATAGATCAAATAGCAGATTTTTCTTTGGACATATGATTTATATGTGAATAAGTTTAGTAAACATCTTTCCATATACTATATTTTTATTAAAGGATTTTAGTGAAGAGAGCAGTCCTTAATACTACATATAATACCACAAACCTACGTATGACACTACACATAACACCATAACTACATAAAACTACATATAAACACTATATATAACACCACATGGCAAAAGAAATTTTAAAATGCAAATGACTATGAAATGTTTTTGAAAACACTTCAAGGATGTAGGTAAATAAATCATTTAAAATTTCAGGGATAAACTTCCTAAATCTTAATTATTCTTTAGAAATGTAAAAGTACATGTTTCTTAGTGCTTTCAAGCCTAGAGGTCCCTAGTTGTTGAGGTTCTTAAGCAAGTATGCTTACATTTAATAAGAAAAGCTTTCCCAGTCAAAAATTCTCCCAAAGTTCACAAATTTGCTTAGTGTGACCTATCAAGAAGTTCACCTGTCCAGAAAGTAGTTAGTAACCTTGTCCCAGGCCCTCTCCTCCAAGAAGCCTGCTCTCAGTGTCTAACCCACAGAGTTCAACTGCTCTGATCCCTGGTTAT